TATGGGAAAGTTTTAAAGGCATGGTACAATATTCCAAATTACATTCCTGCCTACTAGAATAATATAGTAGGAATTTAACAAGAGATTAAATTGTTCAAACTAAAAAGGTTTAATTTGTTTCATTGCTGACTCATTCTGTGGTTCCAAAGGTTATTAGTTGTATATTTTTTTTATAAGATTCCTTAAACGCTAGTTGCCTCTCTTGTAGAGAGCAGAGTTCTAGGCATAAAAAAATGGAATACTATTTGAATTTCCACTAATGAACAAAACTAGTATCTTATTATCTGACACAGAAGATAGCAAGACATACTACTAACACACACACAAAGCAGACTAGCAACCATAACAGGTTGGTAATAAGATTATAGAACTTAAGGCTAATTGCACTGGGATTTTTTTTGTTTAATTTAATTATGACTTGGGTCCTGAATAGGTTATCACAGTGTTCATGCAGTTAATTTTTGAAAATCTTCTCAGTTGTGCTGATGTTTCACATTTTGGTTTGTCTGACAGGAAGTACAGAATAGTGAGGCAGGGTGTACAGAAATTGGGGAAAGAATCCAGGGTTTGGTATTCAAATATTTTGGTTTGAACCCTAGCATCATGGCATCATTCCTTAAAATTGAATATATGTTATACACCATTATGCCTCTCTATTTCACAAACTGTAAAATGGGAATAACTGTATCTATCTTTCAGCAATATATAGAAAATAATGCAGGACACCAATTACTCTGACACATGGTAGGTGTTTCACAAATGACAGTTCAATTTTCCCTTATAAACAGTAAGAGCCAAGGAAATTCTATTTGGCAACATATGAATTCAGTGACTATATCTTCCAAATGAAAAATTGGGACAGAGTCTGCCAAGTATGACACATTTATGGTGACAGGAGGACAGAATATTTGAAACTGGAAATGTCACTGCAAAACCTCGATGGGTATTTATCATGCTATGAAGAATATAGATATCAGGAGAGCATCCAAACACATTTATTTTTAAAGGAATTTTATTTAACTGCCTTTGGTATTTTCACTTAAAGAAAACTGAGACTAAGTAAAGGACAACCCATATTCAGCAAATCATTTTCTCTAAATAGGATAAATGCATTATATGTTTCATGTTTTATAAGTTGTAGTGGTGATCAGTTCTGATACATTATACAAAAGTTCAAATATAAAGACATTTTTAAAAAGTTCCTTATCCAGAATGGGCTCAAGAGTGCTTCTTTTCTATTTAATATCTACAGAAAAATAGGGGTTTTTTAAATCTTCAATCTATTCTGTGACCTTTTAAAAGTCCTCCTCTCCTAGTGAGAAGATTCATTGTTATTTAAAGAAAATAAAAAGAAAACATTCATATGGTTTTCTAGATGGCAAGTTTGAATTTTTTGAACACTTTTCCTTAAAGAACATTATAAAATTTTCCTTTTTTTTTTCCTTTTTATTTATTCTTTATAAAATCAAATTTTATTGATTTGCCATGTTTATAAAACTACATAACTCAGGGACTACAACTTCATACCACAACATGGGCACATGCTTCATTCATCTGCCACCAAAGTGCCAGTGCCTTTCCCCATCACATGATTCCTTTATTAAACCTCCTCTCCTCTTGTAACCACCATATTTTTCACAGTTTAGAATTACTTTTGCTGTATTTTTCTCAAAAAACTTTTTTTCCATTTATCTGATTAAAGAACTGAGATTTTTTTTTCATAACTACTAAGAATAGTTAGAAAGAGGTAATAGAGTAAAAGAGAAAGTGTAAAAAGTCTATTCAGTTCATTTCATATTTGAGGGTTAATCTTCACTGTATTTCACAGCTTCTTCTTGCCTCTTCCTTATACTGTACACGTACACACACCCTCACACACACAGAGTCACAGTCACTTTTTTAAAATTGGAAAACCAGAATATTTAATCACACCAAGGAGAGTGAAAAGTAATCTCTTCAGAAAGAATTTCTTCTATTAATAATAAATTATCTTACAATTTTACTTACAGATAGTCTTATCTACCTTAGTCACTGTGTTTTGTTAATGTGCTTAACATCAAGAATGTCAAAAGACCTTGTAGAGTGGTGAACTAGAGGGAGCACACAGAGCCATGTCTGTACTGACTGGTATGCCAGTCTAACAAAACTGAAGACAATGAGGGAAGTAGAAAATACACATTTTTTCAGTAACTGAGTAGGGCAGCAAGTTTTTAAAAACACCTTTTTAGATTATAGTGCTTAAAGCATAAACTTTCCTTCTTCTTTCCATTCCATCTTATTCTATCTCCCTTTCTTTGCACACACAAAATAAGAAGCAAAGTTCTCTGTAAAAACCAAACAGAATTATGGAGGGAGAGGACATCAATCCATTTAAATGACATTAAGAAAATAATTAAAAATGTTATTTAATGAAGATACACTAGGAGTGGTACACTCATATACACTAAAACCACTGCCTATGAATCATTCACCTAATTTGCAAAACTAGATATATTTCTCTATTAGACAAACATTAACTAATATTAAGTAACTACAATGCTTTGTTACATTGTTGTATTGTGTAATATTTCACATATAAAGAATCTTTTCTGATCATATTTAGCTTTTTCATAGGCCTCAGTTTTTCCTAATAGGAAAAAAAGTTGGGTATTTTCCCAATCCACATATTTAAAAAGAGAGTTAAAGTGAAGGTATCAGCATTTCTGCTGATCACATAAGCTTATTATGAATGATAGTTTTAGGCTTTCAAAACAGCTAATGTTGAATGTTAAGAAAAAGCAAAGGAGAAATCAATTCTTATTTGTAAATATACACACTGTTTAACTTAAAACAATTGTGTAATTCTATGAATTACAAATTCCTTAACTTTTCCATTGCCTTATGTAGAACCATCAACCCATTCTCAGTTAATCATTTATTTCCAGTCAGATAATAAATGGCACTTTGATCTTGTTTGCTTACTTAAGACACAAACTGATTTTGAATGCTTGAGGTATAAATCATATTCTATTCTGCTTACATACTTTGAATACAACTTTAGATTCTTCATACAAAAATAAATTTTGATTCATTTTGCTTTATATTTTTTAAGAATTTTATGTCTCACACTTACATTGGCTAAGTTTGAGACTGCAAATTTTTGGAAACAGGACTCTCTTTTACAGACTCTCTTTCTGTATAGGCGTCTTCTTGCTTTTATTTTCCTCCCTTCATAGAATGAAATAAATTTCACACAATATTCATTCTCCCCTTCTTCACACCAAAATATTCTGCCTGAGAACTTAAAAGACATTTCTCCAAAGAGGACATGCAAATGGCCAACAGACATATGAAAAAAATGTTCAACATCACTTATAATCTGGGAAATGCAAATCAAAATCACACGTTGAGATACCACCTTATGGCAGTAAGAATGGCACATATCAAAAAAAACCCAGCAACAACAAATGTTAGCAAGGATGTGGTGAAAAAGGAACTCTCCTACATTGCTGGTGGGAGGACAAACTGGTCCAACCACTATGGAAAGCTGTCTGGAGGTTCCTCAGTCTACTAAAAATGGACGATCTGGCAATTCCACTACTAGGGATCTACCCAAAGGACATAAAAACATTGATTCAAAAGAACACCTGTACATCTATGTTCATTGCAGCACTATTTACAATAGGTAAAACCTGGAAACAATCAAATGCCCAAAAATAAATGAATGGATCAGGAAGATGTGGCATATATACACAATGGAATATTATTCAGCAATCAAAAAAGATAAACTCATGCCACTCTCAGCAACGTGGATGGAACTAGAAGGAATTATGCTCAGTGAAATAAGACAGAAGGATAAAGAAAAATATCAGATGGTTTCACTTATAGCAGAAATAAAGGGGAACCAAATAAGACATCAGTGTAAAAAAAAATAACAGTACAAAATATAACAAAGCAAAAACAGACAATTATAAATAAGAGACATACTGGAGGGGAGGAGGAGGGAGAGGGATCAGAGGGAGGAGCACAGGGGACTGAGGCGATGGTGTGCTGGTGCATTGGTGAAGGAAACTTTATAGGGACTACACCTGAGGGGGTGGGGGGAAGCAAATATTGTTTAAAAATGAACAATGATGTAAAAAAATTAATATTAAAAAAGTAAATGGGAAAAAAAAAACACAAAATATTCTGTCTGTACTATAGTTTGTATCAAAAAGGATCCTGCTCCCAAGATTCTGAGATATCACCATTCCCCTAAGTGGCTTGAAGGGCTTACAGAACCAAAGAAGAAACCAAAGAGCCTAAGTTACTGTGTGGGCCCTCCAGCTTTCTGATGTGAAATTTGGAATCAGGTGCAGTGCCAGAGAGACCATACAGCTCTCACCAGCTTATCACCTCAGATGTTATTCAGACATGAAAAAAAGTGGTGTGATGTTGGTGAAGAGGTTTGAAAATGTTCTAAGTTCCCAGGCAAATAATCTCTTTTTAACTATAATGAATTAAAGGGGGTGGGGGTGGGAGGAGGTGTAGGAAAGCTTTCAAAAGGAGTAAAGAAGCATAACATACCAGGAGAAAGAATGGCATCTGGGAGTGGGGAAACGATAAGAAATAAGAGAAGATAAATATTAATAGATGGTAATATCATAAGGTTAGAGAGAAAGCACTGTTGTTTGGCTAATTTGCTTTAATTTAAGAGAGATCAAACCTTTTTTCCTTCTACTTAGACAAAGGAGAGGCTGCTCAAGCCAAAAAAAAAAAAGAAGGTAAACAACAAACAAAAAGGATGGAAGGAAGGAACAAAGGAAGAAACTCCATCATCAAATAAAAGATCCTTTGCTACATTCTATTGCAGAATGTCAGACTAGTGATGTCATGCTTTATACTTCCCTTATAAAATACTAGCAAATCATTCTGATTACAATAGTAAGTTGATAACTTTAGAAAAGGCGTTAAAACTGATTTTACACAAAGGATATGATATTTTTTTTTTTCTAAAGTGTTCCAGATCCTCACAGAGAGATCATCATTGGCCCTTCTTTCCAGTATGCAATTAATTGGTAAGGAAAATTAGTTTCCTTCCACAGAGGAAACTCTTAAATGGTTTTGATATATGTGGGGATTTTAAACACATTGTGTTTATTTAGTCAATTAAAACAGTCATGGGATCAAATGCTGTCTACATTTATAAACTGTGAACTTGAGAAATTACTTACACTACTCCTAATCCAATTTCTTCATATACAATAAATACGCTTGTTCAAGTAGAAAGGTTAACAGCTTAAAAAAAAACCTACCTATTACATTTCTAATTTTTGATACCATTTTATCACAAACTATTATTCCATTTTCCTTTTAAAAGTTTCCATGTTTATGCAAAAAGCTATCCATCAAAATTGTTTAAAATATGCTGGATACAATTTAAAATGTCTCTTTGAATACTAAGGGAATAAGAGCGGCTAATATTAAAAAACAAATCTAACATAAACCAATAGTTGTATTTTGTTTAGATAAATAATTCATATAGAACAATCTAGATAAAACTATGTTTCTATTTTCTAGCATATTTAAATCAAAATTATGAGAAGACATTTGAGGACTATGAGCTCTAATTCTTCCAATAAACTTATGAACAATTCCACTTTTCAGTTGCCCCTTCCAGGTAAAATTTTCAAATTTCTATACATGTGATTCATAGCAGTATTAAACTTACTGAATAATGAGAAACATTGATAAGTTACATCAATATGTACAAAAATCATTCCTAATCATTTACTCCCCTTTACAAATCCTTTATTTTTTGTTTCCTTTATGAACCCATGGAAAGAAGTTACTTTAAGAACTGAATGACTGGTTTATTTGTTAAGTCTATTTATCAATGACAATAGCTATGGAAATATGCACAGATGATGGAATTTCTGCTTTACATGTAATTGATAAATGGCAAGTGTATTTTTCTATAATGCCCCAGCCATACTCAATATATCTTCTCATAGCAGTGCTGTACACACTAACACACAAATGTCTTGAGCATAAACACAAAGATATATGATGCTCAAAGTATGTATTACTCTATTACAAGATGATTTTTCTTTTGAGATTTCTTCCCTAATAACTTCTACTTAAATTACAGGTTAATATTAGGTAGAGACTTCAGATATTGGAAATTCATTTTTCATTTATGGGAATCCATCCAGGGTCAAAGATAATGGCTATTTAGAAGGGGTGGTGCCAAGAACATCCAAGGTCGATTGAATACAGATCAATTAATGGTGAAAGAAAGAATTCAATGAGTATTATTTTAAATTTAATTTTACATGGTGAGAACAGTCAGAAACCACAATCCAAAATCCTAAAATATATCCTTCTTTCTTCTTAACCTTTCCTCCCAAGCACACACACACACACACACACACACACACACACGTGTACACACACTAATAAAATTACATCTTAAAACAAAATATTCAAGAAATGAAGAATCACAGGACACACATATGTACATAAGAAAAAACAGTATTTTTAGTCCTATTTTCAAAGGTACTACATTTTAAGAGGAATTAGAATCACAGAGACAACCTTCATGATATCTTTATATGCCGATTTCTTTCCTTCAGTGTTAAAACAATTTTATCCAGCCTGGCACTTAACCTCACTCTTCTAGTACTAAAGCATCAACTGAATGTGAAAGAACTAGGATAGGAGGGGCTCAAACACTTGGTATTTAGAAAATGAGAGATAATAAATACTTGACTACAATACCTAAGATACTTGCAGACTAGAAACTCTTAATAAAAAAAAAAACATTTAGGAGAACGAAAGAAAAAAACAAACAAACAAAAAACATTTAGGAGAGAGCCCACTTGCAGCCTAATAAATAATATATTTTTGAGGCTCACTTTTCCAAACTAGTTACTTTGCTAGGGAACCAGAATACCTTACTGAATGGCAGAAGCAATAGTTCTACTTCTAAATTGCTATGGACACAATGATTAGATGTAAAAAATAATACATGTGAAAATCATTAAGTGGTGACCCAGCTCACTGAGTTCAAGTGATTTATGGAGAAATAAATACCCAGATAACTATTGTTTTTTACAGTGATAAGTCTCTTCTCTATGTCAATGAGTTTTCAGAGAATGTAGCTAATAGTCAGTACAATAAAATAGAATTATGCCTAAAAGCAGAATAAATGTATATAATTGCCCTGACACCTTTTTAAAAATATTTTTGCCTGGAAAATGAAATGTTTTGGACTAGAAAATTTTCAAGATAACTAAAAATTATATTACTAATACTTGTATAACATTTTGGGGGTCAATTTTTCTAAAATATACCCACTAATTTGATTTACCCACTAATTTGATAATATAGTGAGCATAATCTATCCTATTTTTGATAATATGAGGGTCATAACTATTGTCTCTGTGACTAAGAGAATGAATCCTCTGAAAGGTACCATGTTTGAGTATGCTGAACCATCAACTGAATACCTTGTAGATGGCTGTGTTTTTCTAGATTGTTCAACCTCCTATATCACTGTCAACAATGATGTGTGTCTAGTTTAATGATTTTCCCTTCTTCTTGTTACTTCTAAACTATCTTCCACTAAAAAGAACTAAATCATAAGAGGAAATCAGACAACTGAAATTTAAAACCCATCAGTCTTTTTCTTACACAAGAACCTCAATCAATAGGCACCAATATTTTTTTCACTACCTGGATTCTTCTCTCCTTTGCCTAAGGATAGATAACAGAGTTATTTCTAGATGAACACCATTGTCAAAATTGCCAATAATCTGATCTATAAATATGGTAAACATGATACAACACATAAACCATAGTATATATGGATTTCCCTTTGATACAGAACTTACTGACATCATTTCAGAGTTTATTATAAATAAGAAGCTCAGCACCACTCCCACTCCAACCCAATGACCTACTTAATCGGAATTTTGACAGTATTTACATATAATTTTTATGTACACTAAATTTGAGAACTGATTTAGAGCACAGTGTTCCCCATCAATGAGCTCTCCAATGATAGGCTTTCATTACTACCATCAGAGAAATTAGGATTTTCCTGTTCATGCACCTCAAATTTTCCCTTTATTACTTTTCACTTCACCTTCATGGAGTATCTTCATTCTATGATGTACCTTTAGCAAAAATTTACCTTCTTGAAAAATCTGAGTTAAATAAATTTGTTGCAGATAAATATATTATTCAACTCAACTTCAAGACATGTTAAGGATTTCTGAAGTACATACCATCATGTTCAATTTAATCCCCTCATTTTGCAGAAGAAAAACAAGTGAAGTAGAGGTGAAATGACTTGGTGTACCACATTAATCAAGCAGTAACATGCCTTATTCTCTCTGGACCACACATCCATATATTCATTTATGGCTCCTTCCATAGATTCATTTATGGTTCCCTCCCTCCCTTTATTTTTTTTAAAGATTTATTTATGTATTTATACAAGCACTGGGTACAGTCCGAAGTGCGGGAGGGTGAGAGAGTTCACCAGAGCCAGAGCGGGAAACAGAACAGACTGACTAAATACACTGCTGAGGGGAGCAGCGAGTGCGGCAGGAGAGGTCTTTTGTGCCATGTGGGACCCTCACCAGTGGCCGCCAGGGATCAAACAGGGCACTGCAGAGGCCTCGGGAGGCTTTGCAGCCCAGCCCTCAACTGCTGCACCACCAGTCCCTCCTTCCCTTTCTTCATACTTTATTTACTGTTAAAATCCATACACTTACTCTTTTCCATATATCAATGTAAAAGCTGCTTAATGGATTTATTCTCTCTTTGATTTCTCTTTACATATCTTTAGCAAGTCTTGTAGTAGGAGTCCCAGTTGTGCCTCACACTTAATTCCATCTTTTCTACTTGTCCGATGTCTAAATGAAAGCTTAATTCATTTTCCTATGGAGTTCTCCTGTTCACCAATTCTGCCTGAATTGATCTTTACATTCAGGTTGGTGGTACTTCATGCAAGTCCACTGAATTTTGTTGACTCAATTTAGGAACTCTTTTTTTTTTTTTATTGTGGTAACACTGGTTTATATCACTTTCGTTTTATAAGTGTAGGATCCCCCCTTCAGGTGTTGGTGCCATAGTGCACCCCCTGCCAAAGCACTCATAGTCCACCACCATAGTCTACTATGGTCCCTCCCCACTTTTTGCTCTTCTCCCTCCTGCTCCCCATCTGGTTGCCTCCATTCATTTTCAAGGGTTAGTATTTTAGTTTGACTTTATCTGACTCTGTTTGATTTCTCTATATATTCCACATATAGGTGACACAATCTGGTATTTGTTTTTCTTCTTTTGTCTTAGCATAATCCCTTCTAGCTCCATCCATGTTGGCACAAATGGCAAAAATTTAGTAATATTCCATTGTGTATACATACCATAAGATTCTGGTCTCGCTTTCTACTTGTGAATTTTTATAGTCTCATCTCTAGGGTTAAGATTAAAAACTTCACCTACCTCTCTAAACTCATACTTAACTGTTAAAACTAAGTGCTAATATTAGTTGTGGCTAAGTCATGATTATAGGAAATCATAAATTCTCCTGAAACAAACAAACAAACAAACAAAAAATAGCTTTTCTGTATCCAGTCCCCATGTGTTGATATTCACCATAGCTCTTGGATCATTTCTCCTTGTGTTGTTTTATGTTTTCCTACTGAGTAGTTAGTAGGAGAATGGGATGGGGATACTTTAATCCTTCCTTACAGTTTATGACATAATCCAGGAAAAAGGTTACAAGCGCTGACCCAACAAATTAGATTTTAGTTTAGGTCTTATGTTACACGTACACTCCATGAGATAGATGTTCGGCTCAGCTACCTAAAGGCAGAGATTAAAAAGGATTAAGGTTAAACCCTAAGTAGTAACAATATTAATTTACCTGGGCTCTACCTTAGGTATAACTCTGTAAGGATCTGGGAGACAGATGCCAATGACAATCTGGGACCAGAAAAATAGAATGGGCTGTGTTTTTTGAAAATGTGTATGCGTGCCAGAGAATTTCACATGGTTAGATTTTTTTTTTTTTCAAAATACTTATCACACTGACAAAATTTATGGCTTTTGCATCTTAGCTGGTTTTGCCAAATGGAAACTTCCTTTTTATAGGGCTTATAGATAAAATTCTTGCAAAACTAAGCAAAAATTCCCTTCCTTCACTGGTAACCTATTTTAAATCTTAGCCTAGCACAGCAACTAACTAACTATATAAATAATAAATGTCTTGTGCTCTGCTCAGAAAGATAGCACAAGAATAATTCACTGTTAAAAATAACCTAATTTTTAATGCAAGTGTTTATTTTCAAAATATAATTCATCCATTTTAAAGTTAGACCTTATGTTCACCAATTTGAAAATTAATGTTGAAAGATAAATGGAAGCTATTTCCTGAAGTAAATTTTCCATCAACATCTTTAAGAACGCCTTTGGATTGGTTAACTGTCAGAAGCTGACCTTCCTAAAAATGCCCCATATCTAGTGAATTAATTTAACTGTGTATATTCATCCTGTTCTGTCATGAATTACATAGTATAAAACCAATGAAATTATAATAGATTCTTGCTAGCTAACATGCATAAGATGCGAACTCAAAATAATGTAAGAACACAGTCTCCACTTATTAAA